TTAACATATGCAGATCATAATTAGCAAGAATAAGTGTCAAAATTTTATTTAAGGTAAAGAATGGGAACATAAGTTTTCATTATGCACACCCACAGTCAAGTTACTAGAGACAACCCCTAGCACTAGCTAACAAACTCTATCCTCTGGTTTCAACCTTCAGAGGGCACCTAACTTTTATTAGTGTGTAATATAAGCTGAACTTCAGTAACAAGCATACAAGGGAAGAATGTTGGTGAGAGACAGAGAGAGGCCTAAAAGCCAAGCAGGTAAAATTCTTTCAACTTTTTGTAAAATTACATTTACGAAAATTAACAAACAAAGTAGTTGTATTAATCTCTTTTTCCAATCAGTTGTAAGTTGGAACAAAGAATTGTCATTCTAATCCCCCAGTCACTGCAAGAGTCTACACAATGTCCAGAAAAAATTATGTTCCTCTAACCCATGAGACATCATGGAATCATGCATCAATTTTTGGAAGACATGTGCATAAACTACATAAGAAAAAAAGCTACAGACAAAAAGACATATTGATAACCTTAAACAACCCATACTGCAAATCAAATGCAGCCTGAGTGATGTTGTCCATAAAATCTTTGAAAATTCCACCCCCATCAATACCAGCCTCCTGAACTCCAAATTCATTGACAAAAGTTACATGTATCTGTAAAGGAAACAACAAAAAAATGATTATAACGGTACTTGACAAAAGAAAGCTGCTGTAATCAGGATACAAAATCAAGAAGGCAGAGAATAGATTTTCAAATTGCTATTAAAGAAAAAAAGTCATGATTTCAAATGTTTCAAATATGTTGAAGTTTGTAAGATCACTTTTGTATGTTGAAGTCAAAAGCTATGTCACAAGAAGAAAAGGGGCTGCTATTTTGTAATCCATCCTTGAAGGGATCATATTTCCTACTTTACTAGGATAGGTGCGATGGTTGTAGCTCCAACTTTTGTACTTTTGACAGATTAAAATCTCCTTGTAATCAAGTTGATAAATATATTGAATGAAAGAGAGACTGAGCAACCACAGTGAGCTCAGACCATTTTAATCAAATTCTCTCCCATTTTCGTTTCCATTTTACACTGTTCAACATCTACATTCTGTTTTAATCTTTCATTTTACAACAAAATACAAGAAAGATAAGAGCATGTTACCAATCCTCGTAGATCCTCTTCAGACAATGCGCTCATCTGACTACAAGCATCTTCCCAAAAATGATCCCGGCGAATTATAAAATGCTTTCTAACCAAAACTCCATGTCGCTGATGCTGTTGTTTAACTGCTGCTAGTTGTGCCTGGTAGATTGATTTTATATAAACCAGTTTACAAGTAATTGGGAAAAAAAATCAATAAAGAATGCAAGTACATATGATTAATTTTCTGCAAATAATTTTCCCTCGATTTCACATGATGGAGACAAAGACACCATGACAGTCATATCATCCAGAGTTGATGATTGCATTTCTTTTACAACCAATTCATTCCAACTAATCAATGAAAATTTAAAGTTAATTACTTACAGTATATATTTTCACTTTGCCAGTGAACGGAATTAAGACAGGAGCTTGATTCACCATGCCATGTTCTTTTGTACCCTCTATTGCTGCCTGGAAAAGGACACCAATATCAAGACAGGCAGCTATACATACACACACACACACACACACACACATAATTCCAGGAATCCCAATATGCAAATGAGAAGCTATTACCTGAGAAATAAAATAATCATCAACCACAACCACATCAACATGGAAATCACTAGGGGGAGTAAACTCACGTCTGTTGTTCCAATCTTGTAACTTTAAGAGAAATTTAGATTACAGAAATCAGAAGGGAAATAAAGACCATAAATTTTGCCTCACAATCATTGTTTCTATTAGATGCATCACAGATGCCATATTGAACACTGGCAAACAAAATTGACACAATATGTACATACAAAATGCCATAATCCAACAATTTAGATTAGTATTATACCTGTGTGAGGACCTCAGAGACTATAGTGACAATTCTGCTTTGAATAATTTCAACAGGTTGCCTTGTAAGTAAAGAAGAATGGGAGGCAGATTTAGCAGGATTAGGCTGAGCTGTAGGATTTAGCCATAGGAGCTGCCACAAAGCCTATAGCAAAGTGAAAAAAACAAAAGGAGGAGCTAGAATTAGAAGGTCACTGTAAAATTCTACATCTGATACAGCCAATATGCCAATTTAAAACTGGTGCCCTAATACTATTGGATGTCAAAGTATCAGCAATCAGTCACCAGCAATGCTATCAACTAGTCAGAAAATATTCATAGGTGTTCCTATATTAAATAAAATACAGAAACATAATCAATCTAGGAACAAAAACTAGCAGTAGCTTCACAAGCCACAACCTTCATTTTTGGCATGCTGAAGCAGAGCTCAGCAAAAACAACTTACCTCTCTCAGAATCTTAATTAGATATTTGACATCGTGCAATGATAGCGGCTTCCCCTTCTCATAGAACTCTTTATCATCAACTATCATAAGCTTGTACCTGATATTCAAAAAAATTGTGCCCTTACATCAACCTCAAACCTTACAGAGTGAGTGATAAAGAAAAGAATTGTAACATGAACCATGACAATAAAGCAATCACAAAGCAAACAAACACCCTTACTTGTAGACAGTGCAGAAAACAGCCAGAGGCAATAGCCACTGAGGTGCATCTAGCAACAAATCTGAAAATTGCGCTGGCAAGAACATCAACCAGTTTGGATTCTGATAACACCACTTCACAAAAATCCAAAGCTCTGGAACAAGGTCAGTTCTAGAAGCTAGTTTATTCACAATTTGCTCAGAGGGTAAAGTGTTGAAAGTGTCATGAAGAAAAGCACAAGCTGCGGCAACAACTGGCAAGTTTATATTATTTGGTCCTTCATTTTCTGAACCATGGATGACAGAAGGCCCTTTAGATAACACCTTATTCTGTGCCAAAAGAGCGAAACTTTGAATTGTTGCTTTGATGTTAAAAAAGAAAAAGAAAGATTTTAATAGGTTGGATGCATCTTCTAGAAATTAACAATCTATCAAGATCGTATACCAACTGTTGAAGAAAGCAGGAGTCTATGGCATTGTTTATCTGCCTTTTCAAATTGCTACCCTGGACTCCTACTGTTGCTTCATGATGATGATTCATTTCATCCTCATCCAATGTGGATCCTGAAAATAACAGTTGAATGCCTTCTCAATTAAGGATTCAAAGAAACTATAGAAGATATTAAAAAAAAAAAACTATAGAAGTCTTAAAAGGAAATGTCATACTACTATTAAGATATTTCGACAATAAGATAATAAACTCCATTGGCACACTGAAAGAAGGAAGAGAAAAGATTGCATATCATGAAACAGGGCATACTTTCTCTGCTTTCTCCTTTTTCTTTACTCCCGGATTCTATAGGAGGAAGAGCCTCCAACACCGTTCCAGCAGTAGCTGCAAGTTTTACGACCTGGTCCAAATAATTCCTCAGGTCAGGGCAACTTTTCAGATTCAAAATCTCAAATACATGTTTTTAAATATGCATATTCCCCAATCCTCATAAATTACTTCAAAGGAAAAATTTGCAAGTAAGCAATGCCTTTTGAATTGAATGACCCCATACCATTGCTGACATTTGAAACAGAATTAAAAGAGTAGAATTAAGAACATAGAGAGTCTTCTTATTATATGAATAAGCTTCTTACCATTTCAACCGAGCAATAATGATGTGCTAAAGCAAGAGCTGCTATCTCTAAAATATTACCAAGAAGATAGGCATAACCAGGAAATTCAGTCCCCACATCACTTGCCATCTGATCAATGTAATGCTGACTCAGTCTAGAAGACGCAAAATCCTAGTGAAAAGATAAGAAATATTATAATTAGCCCCCAAAAAACAAAAAAATACTGTAAACTCTCAACAAAATGAAGATATTTTGAAGCATGAAAAAAGAAATCAGCAAAACCAGCCGATTTTGTAAGGAAATTAGTTGGATATACAGAATAATGCAAAAGAAAAGCTTGCGAGTTTTCGAGCACCTCATCATGCCATGATATAGCCTGAAAATTAACCTAAAGAGAACACGTAATGAACGATCATTTGAGTAGAGTGTGGAAGTGTGGAAGAAACCTACCTCTTTCAAGTATGGGAAAAGCTGCCATAAGAAAGGCACTGTAAGAATCTGTGATGAGAAACAACGACTCCATTTTGTACCAGTATCCCGAGGAGTAACTAGCTTTTGGGGAATATGGGATGCTATACGGGTAAGCACATCCTCCACTAAAGATTTCTTCCCATGTGAACTATGACCCTTCCTACTTGCCTGCACCACATAATATAAAGGTGGTTTCTTAAAAAAAAAAAATGAAGAAGTAGTTACAGAAAAGCTGTTGGCTCGCAAGAATGTAATCTGAACCAACCAATTCAACAAAAGCAAATATCATTCAATTTTACTAGTTCAAAGGAGTTTATGTGGAAAAGCATGGCTGTCAGAGAACAGAAAACCATAAGAAGGGTACCTTAACTGCAAGAATAATTTCTCTGAGTACAGTCAGTAGATTTCTCTGAATAAGATAATCAATCACTCTACAAGTCCATGGACGTTCAGGATCTATCAACAATAGAACTGTCTGAAGCAAGATAGTTGTAGGTAAGCCAGACGCCTCGGAAGTCGTTAAAAGTTGATCCCTCAAATTATTTCTGTGCAAAGAAGAACTATGATTACCATTAACCCAAATAAACAGAGGCAGACAAACTGTTCACTTTACACTTTAATTCAAAATAGTTTCTGGAAAGATGACCCTTTAACTCTTCACTGAGTTCACTCTTAACAATTTACTAGTCCGATTGCATCCAAATTAATGTCGTTAAAGTTTATTTTGTGGCCCTAGTTGAAGTATACAACAAATTCGATAATGACCCATGTTGATCCTTCAATTTATTTCTACCCATTACAGAATACCCAGTACAGAATGATCTCTCGACTATTTAATTTGAGTCGTTTTGGTCTATAACCTTTTCTGACAATGAAATGCCCCTAAACTTATTTAACTGACTTGGAAATTGTCCTCTGTTAACAGAGAACCTGAATCCTACCTGTTGGAATAGGCCCAATGCCCAAACAGGACTGTGCAAAACGGGCCTAGGCTACCACCCATTAGCCCAAGCTGAAGGAGCATCAGTACAAGCATACCCACGTGACCAATGACACGTGGGTCGAGGGGATGCTTACACGTGCAGATGTATGTCACCACCAAGGGGCTATAAATACCCCCTAACTACCTCCGATGAAGGTAATTAATCTCTACACTTCTCTCTCTAGAATATTGAGTATTGCTGACTTGAGCGTTGGAGTGTTTTCCCCGAGGAAACATCCTCGGGATTTTCAGGTGTAGAAGCAGCTAAAGACTTCAACAGTGTTAGATTGTGAAGCTGTCGAAACATTGGTGCCGTCTGTGGGAACCCGAACAAGAAGTTGTGTAACTTAACCTGCTGAAAGACAAAATGGTTCGAACTTTTACAGGAGGTCGCCCCCCAAGGAATGAGGTGGACGAACAGGAGGATGCTCAAGTATCTGAGCCCGGATTGAATGACTTTAGGCCAATGCCAAGAAACCTCTTCGTCGGGGGAGCCGAACAGGATCACCTAAGTGAAACAGATGACGAAAGAACACCAACTGGGTATGCAACCCAACCTGAACAGTTCCAAGTTCCAACAGGAACAAGACAAAGACCTTCTAGACCGTACAATTTACAGCGTGAACGACCTGAAAGGTCAACAGAACCTGCTCGGACAACCGAGCTCGAAGAGAGAACCAGAGTTCTTGAAATGGCAATGGGAAAAATCCTTGCCCATCTGATTCCTGATGACCCCCTGATTCCTTTGTTGAACAGGGATGCGCAACCAGCTGCGGTTGTTGCAACTCGAAATTCCCCCACTCTCAGCAACATAGTAGTGCCGACCAGGCCAAGGGGAAGTGGGAAGTTGAATGTCGAGCCCAGCTCGTCCAAACATAGTGAAGAATTGATGAGAAAGAACGCAGATCTTGAAAGACAGCTACGGGACGTACAAAAGTCTATTGACGAGCTGAAAAGTCCTAGGTCGCATCAACAGACTCTGGATTTGGATAGTGCACCACTAAACTTATCCATTACGGCAGAGCCGTATCAAGAGGGATTCAAAATTCCCCACTTGGAGACATATGATGGCACGGGTGACCCTGACGAACATCTACACACCTATCAAGCCATCATGAGAATCCAAAACGCCAATGATGCCATGATGTGCAAAGTGTTCCCAGCAACACTAAAATCAATAGCCAGGAGGTGGTATCACAAACTCCCCAGACATTCAATAGATTCATTCTCCCAGCTTGCCAAGCTGTTTTCTAATAAATTTGCGAGCCAAAGGGAGATCAAGCGCACAGCAACCGAGCTGATGCAAGTTAACCAGAAGGAAGGGGAGTCTTTGAGGGATTACATGCAGCGGTTCAACAAAGCCACCTTGGACATTGATAATGTCCCAGACACGATTTGCCTGTCCGCCCTGTTGCATGGGTTGAAGCGTGGCCGGTTCCTAGACGACCTGCTTGAAAATCCACCGAAGACGTGGAACGAGGTGAATGACAGGTCGGCCAGCTTCATACTGTCAGAGGACTTTCAGTCGTCCAAGCGACGAGCTGATGATAAGCAGAACAAAGGCCAGGAACAACAACCGAGAAGAGAAGAGAAGAAGAAACAGAAGGTCAGTGAGCAATGGGGGAAACCAGTTGAGTTCCCGAAATATGCCAGTTACATTCCTTTGACCTTACCTAGGTCTCAAATCCTAGCACAAATTCAGCACTGGGTTAGGAGACCTCCACCCTCACTACATGATTCTCCGAGGGTAGACAAGAGCAAGCATTGTGACTATCACCGTGTATATGGTCACAATACAGAGGATTGCCAACACTTGAAGGACGAATTAGAGTTTTTGGCTCGTAACGGGAAGCTAGAAGGGTATGTTCAGAAGTCTCACACCCAGCAACCCACTCAAACCCATTTCGTACAGGCGTACGACCGACCTCAAGGGCAGAGGTACCAGCACGGTAGGACGCAGGATGCATATCAGGATACCCAGTATCCTTCTGAGCAGGGCAAAGCATACCGAGGACGTCCGTTCAACAGAAGAGGACAGGGACCGAGAACTATCGCCCCGAATCAAAAAGACAGGAAAGGGGTAGGTTATGCGGGGATACCCCCACCTTCTGGTACAATAAACATGATCTCAGGTGGTGTTCACTCAGGGGGCCAAAGCGCCCGAGCTCGCAAGGCATACGCCCGACAGGTGATGACGATTAACAAAAATAGACCCTTGAAGCGGCCGTTTGAAGAAGTAGAATGGGAGAATACGCCTATCACCTTCAGCCCGGCAGATTACCAGTGAACAGAGGGAGAGCCTGACATTATGATGCCCCATGCAGATCCCTTTGTGGCAACGGTTCATATAGGCAATCATAATGTCAATAAAGTGTTCGTTGACACTGGCAGTTCACCAGATATCCTGTATTGGAGTTGCTTCCAAAAGATGCAGCTAAATCCGAGCTTGCTGCAGAAGCACAAAGGCCCGATATATGGATTCGATAACCAGCCCGTCCCAGTTGAGGGAGTTATTACCCTTCCTATATATGTGGGCTCAGAACCGCGCTTCAGAATGGCTTCTGTCACCTTCATGGTCGTTAAGATGGAATCAGCTTTCAATGCTATATTAGGAAGAGCCACCCTATGCGAGCTGAAAGCTGTTATCTCACAGCCCCATCTCTGTATGAAATTCCCAACTCCTCAGGGGGTAGGAGTGCTGAAAGGGAATCAGAGGATGGCTAGAGCCTGTTACCAAGACACGTTCAAGAAGGTCGAGCTCGCCGCAGCCCCAGCGAGCGCTGAAGGTCGCAAGCCAACCCAGTTCGGTCAACAAACAATGAGCATATCAGACATTGAGCATCGACCTGAGAGCGTTGAGCAAAAGGCAGAGCCAGTAGAGCCAGTGGAAACGGTACCTTTAAACCCGGATGTGCTGGAGAGAACGGTGAAGATCGACACTAAACTCACA